GGCACCTGAGCTTATAAGTTCAAGACCAGCCTGAGCAAGAGCAGGACCCTGTCTCCACAAAAAATGAAAAACTGAGGCAAGAGGATTGCTTGAGCCCAAGGGTTTGAGGTTGCTGTGAGCTATGACACCATGGTACTCTATCCAAGGCAACAAAGTGAGACTCTGTCTCAAAAAAAAAAAAAAAAAAAAAAAAGGAAAGAGGGTGCCCACCTTACAAACAAAAATCTGTCAAAATCTGATACCCTTGGGCATCCCACAATTCACGTCTTAGTGAAGCAGAACAGACTAAACAAGCTGTTGTTTGCACATCATACGATGGACCAATTTCTCTCGTTTAAGGCCCCAATGGCACGTGCTGAACCAGGCCTTCCCATTCAGCAGATGGCAGCACTAGAGACTGTAGATTCCTGAGATGAAACTACTGTCAGGGGGCTTGATAGACTGTGCTTCACAGACAGATGGTGGCTTTTATAGTGAACTTAATTATTAAAATAACCTCTAATAAATCTACAGCCAATGTTGAAGCAACCTGAGTAATTAATTTATATATTCAAAAAGGCTCATTTTGGCCAAAGTTTTCTCAGCCATAAAGGCAAAAATATATATTTCATCTCCACAACTTAGGTAGGGGAATTTAAAAAACTTACCGTTTTTTAATGGTAGCGTCACAGCTCACAAGAGCCAGATTACCTTCAGGTTTCTGTCACAAATTTACTATGGACTGGTTACTATGACTTTAACCCCCTTTCCTAACAAACTTTAAAATGGGGGTGGGGGAGTGAAGGGGAGCTTAGAGAGGATTAAATGAAACCACTTTACAGATAAGGAATTTGACATTCGAAGAGGTATTCAGCAGGAGTTATTATATAACAAGTAGTAAAATCAAGTTTTCCTTTTTGTTTCTTTAATCCTAAAAGAGCTAATGTCTGGTGAAAGATTGAGACATTTTTGCCTTGCTTTCCTCTTCTTGACTTCTGTACCAACTTCTTCAGTTAAAAGTTAAGTATTTCTATAATCTTGACAAGAGAATTGTTGATTGAGACTACGAATAAATACCCAGCAATTCTGGACTGATTAAGTAACACAGGAAGGATGGCCAGTTCTTGTCATTGACTTAGAAGCTACACTGCTGACTCCTAAGGAATTGGTCATATTATTTAAAAACTCAGTGTTTCATTAGCTTCCTAAAATGTACAGATTATTATTAAAAGTCAAGACCCTCCCCCACTACTCCTATTATGCTTGTTTTTCAAAAGGCTTTTTATTAAACAAACTCTGCAAAAGCATTTGAAAACTTAATAAGACATGGCCCATATAAAAATGGCTGGCTTCCTGTGGGCCAAAATGCCGTTTATTAGGACTAGGACAAATGCTTGATTTTACTCAATCTTCATGACAACTCATTCAAAGAAAAACCTGCCCTTTTGAAATAAAATTCTCCATATAAGTTGAGTTGCTAAAGAACTGAATTTGAGAAACTAAAGAATTTGAATTACTCAGAATTATATCTTTAAGAACTAAGAACTAGGGTGGCACCTGTGGCTCAAGGAGTAGGGCGCCAGCCCCATACACTGGAGGTGGTGGGTTCAAATCCCAAACTGCAACAACAACAACAACAACAACAAGAAGAACAACAAGAACTAAGAACTAAGAGATGGTCATAAGCAATATCTTCTGCAAACGTAGGATTATTTGGCAGCGTCTCTTACCTGTAGGAGTGTGAGCGTGTAGTGTTGCTCCGGTTCAGACAAAAACTTTAGTAGAAAGCACAAGCAGGCTTTTAGGAGCCAACGTCACCTTACTGTTCCAGATAAAACCTCTGCACATCCTCTTTGATTTAATCCACAGACACCTAACCCAGTCTAACCACTAAATTACTCACAAGCCTTTCCCAGCACAAATCTTCTTAAGTAATGCTTGCACTGAAATGTCTAATTTATATCTTTTTCATTCCAGCATTTTTTTCTCAAGATGTCAGCACATTGTTACCCCCAAAAGACACTAGTATTTTTTATTACTTCAGACTAACAGACACCACACAACAGAAGACAGTATTTTTGTTTCTGGAGACAGTGTCACTGTCTGGGTAGAGTGCCGTGGCATCACCACAGCTCACAGCAACATCAAACTCCTGGCTCAAGTGATCCTCTAGCTTCAGCCTCCTGAGTAGCTGAGACTATAGGAGGCTGCCAAAACACCCAGCTAGTTTTTCTATTTTTAGGAGAGCTGGAGTCTTACTTTTCTTTTTTGAGACAAAGTCTTACTCTGTTGCCCTGGGTAGAGTGTCGTGGAGTCATAGCTCACAGCAACCTCAAACCCCTGGCTTCAAGTAATCCTCTGGCCTCAGTTTTTCTATTTTTAGTAGAGACAGGGTCTTGCTCCTTTTCAGGCTGGTTGTGAACTCCTAAACTCAAACAATCCATCTGCCTTAGCCTCTCAGAGTGCTAGGATTACAGGTGTGATTACAGTTTGTTTAATTTTATTTTTTTGAGATAGTCTCACTTTGTCACCCCTGGTAGAGTGCTCTGGTGTCATAGCTCACAGCAACCTCAGTTTCTTGGGTTCAAGTCATTCGCAGTAACCTCAGACTCTTGGGTTCAAGTGATTCTCTTGCCTTAGCCACCTGAGTAGCTGAGACTACAGGTGCCTGCCACAATGCTCAGCTGTTTTTAGAGACATGCTCAGGCTGGTCTCGAATCTGTGAATTCACCTGTCTCAGCTTTCCAGAGGACTAGGATTACAGGGCCAGGTGCGCCAATATGCCTGGACCCAGTTTATTTTAAAGTGAGAAATCTCTAAAACCCAGAGGAACCTCGAAAGCCAATACAAAGAGACATGGACTATAATGTAGGCAAAAGAAATACTAAACTTGGGTTTCCTTTAATTTTTTAGGCTGCTCTGTCCATTTCTGCTGCAATCATAAAACCATCTCTTAAAGACCAATGCCTTTTATTATGAAAATCGCTGTTACATCACAGCCAACATTCCAAAACAGTATTTTAATAAACACTTATCTTGATTATAAAGTACAGCAGAAACCATGATCCTTTTTCAAAAGTATTTAACATTTGCTGAGTCACTTTACATAAATCAGGACACTCCATATGCTCACCACGGTGTGCAGGAGATGAGATGAGGAAGAGCACCTATATTATTCAAAACAGCTACTAGTGTTACTTATACAGTAAACCAACAACTTAGAATGGGACAGTTCAGAAACGCAAAACACTAACATGTTGAGGTGCTATAATACTTTTGAGATGGAAAAAGCCAAAGCTTATTTCCTTTTTCTTCTCTGTGAGTTCAGTGCGAGGTATAGGGAAGAACCACAACACCAGATTGATCGATGCAGTTCTTTGCTTCCGCCTTTCCCAATCTTTCATCCTGCTCCAAAATACAGCCTGCATGCAAAGCTCCTCAGGCTCTCCTTCACAGGCCACAGAAGACAGCGTTTGCACAGGGACAAATGAGGTTCCACAGCAGCTCAGAGTCAGTGTTTTGTATTCCAGTGTAGCTTAGTGAGGAAACCAAACCCCAAATTCCTATGGTCTTCTTAATCAGGAGACAGAAAACTCCTATTTAGATGTGTTCCATGTTTGAGGTGGGGGATGGGGGGAGGATGTGGTAGTCACTGCATGAAACCTCTCCCGTCATGGAAAAGCTTAAAAAAGTTAAAACTGTAGTTTAAAAGTTCCTCTTTCAGCAAAAAAGCATGATACATACATGATTGGAAGGGATTTAGGAAGGCAGAGTGTGGCCCACTATAGTTTCAAGTACAATCTAGTTCTTGCAAAGGGATCTGGGTAACTGCAGATGGATTCAGGCAAATCAGAAACTCAAAAATATTCAACAACTCCTTTAATGTCAGAAGCTAGACTGGGAATTTTCTTACAACTTCACATAGCTGACATACCCTTTACCTTAGGAAGGGATCTCTTCTTTTTCCAAATAGTAGATGAATGATATTTTTGGAATTTAACACAGGCCAAGGGCTAGTCTAATCTGATTTCTACCTCCTTTTCAATTCTCCCTTTAAACTCTACAGTCTTTTTCTCTGGGCTCAGAGATCTCATTATTAGTAAGGCTCAGAAATAACAACCCAAGTAACATAAAGTCCTTTCCAATTTCAACACTTTTGCTACTACAGGAAGACTCCAGATGGTGCTGTGACTCCGTAGCAGATAATCCTGTCTTTAAGCTGTTATGTAGTCTAATTAAGCTTCTCACGCTGGATCTGGTAGTAACATGCCTGGAAAAAAGTTCAAAACAATTTTAAATTTGCTTTTAAAGAAGTTACACAAACAGAGCAATGGATATAGTTAAAGAAAAAAAATCCTTATTAATAAATTCAGTGGATGGTCCAACAAGTTTATTGTTTTGACGTTTTTTTGTTCCCTTCTAGTTCCTCTATCCAATGGCTATTTTTTCTTTTTGGCCTCGTTGTAATGAGTATAAACATTTTTCCATTTTCCAAACAAAAAATCTTTTTACAAGCTGAATGGTATTATTCTTCATCAAGCAGAAATACTGTAATTTGCCACTACTGATGGGGCATGTAGAGTACCCTGATTGTTAAAAGGTACATTAGAACTATAATCAGAACCACCTAGTGTATTTCTGTGTTAATAAACATAAACATTAAGCATCACTGCAGACCTACTCAGTCAGAATTTCTAGGGATCCACTTGCGCCTAGCTAGTCGCTGGTTTTTGTTGAGGTGGGGCACTAGTTTTTAAATTTTCTGTAATGACAAGGTCTAGCTATGTTGGTCACAAACTCCTTACCTCATGTGATCCTCCTTCCTCAGCTTCCCAAAATGCTGGGATTACAGGTGTGAGCCCCCGTGCCCACCCTCCACAAACATTTTTGATATTGTCTGTATCTATGTTAAAAACAATAGCTCTCTAAAAGGGTGATGACTACTTATTTCAGTATCAGTAATATGGAAATAATAATGATTTCACCACTATCCTATCAGCAATGGGTATAATTTTAAAATATTTTTGCTAGTCTAGCAGGCACAAAATGGCATCCTGTTTAATCTGAAGTACTATGATTTTCAGTGAGGTTGAGCATCTTTCTCCATGTAATTCAGTTCTGCCTTGGTGATTTGTTTAGAGATACTCTAACATAAATACTAATGATCTAAGTCATTTCTGGCCAATATTTTTCAGTTTCCTCCGCCTTTCAGTTTGTTAAGAGAAATACGTTCCTTCAGGAAGGCTGGCTGATGATATTTTACTTTAAAAGTTTAAGAAGTTAACCCAAGCCAGAAACTTACAATTACATTCTAGGTTTTTTCTCATTTTGATGTACCTGTCTTTCCTTCTGTCTTCAACTCTCTATATTTAAACCCCAAAGCAGCTCTAATTTGCTATTTCACCTTCCCTTTAAAACTGCTAATATACTAAGCTATCTAATACTTTGTTTTACCATTTATTAAATAATAATTCTTTCCATTTTTGTATGTATCTATTCCTGAGACAGTAACATACTATTTTAGCTTAATTAATTTGTATTATCTTAATTATTATCGTTTAACAATATTTTATTAACTAGAAGAATGGGTCTATTCACTTTTTACAAGTGTTTTTGGCATTTTCTTTCTTCTCCTTCTCCCTCTCTCTTTTTATTTATCTATTTATTGGCATTTTCCATCTATTCTTCTAATAAACATTAGAGTCCTTCTTCCAAATCCCAAGAAAAATCAAGGTGGGAAACTGAAATGACTTCAACAACCCCTTAAGGGCACCCGAAACAAAAAAACCTCATTTGTAACCCACTGGTTGCAGGAAATACAAAGGAAAGAAAAAAGACAGAACTCAAATTCATTATTTACCTGCTGCCTCCATGTTCTACCTTAGTTCCATCAAATAGCTATCCTGGGAGATACTATGTGGACACTAAGGATCTGTTCTGTTCCTTTTTTAGAGTTAAAATTATTTAGATAAATATGAACATTTGTAACAATTTGAATGATCAATTTACAGGAAAAAATGAAGAGAATTTGCTTTAGTATTTGGAAAACTAACTGACTTATCCTATTTTTCTTTAATATACAGTATCATCTTGTTTTAAAATATCAACACACACTGGCTTGGTGCCCATAGCACAGTGGTTATGCCACCGGCCACATGCACCTGGGCTGGCGGGTTCAAACCTGGCCCAGGCCAGCTAAACAACAATGACAACTGCAACAAAAACATAAAAAATAGCCAGGCATTGTGGTGGGTGCCTGTAGTCCCAGTTACTTGGGAGACTGAGGCAAGAGAATCACTTGAGCCCAAGAGTTTGAGTTTGGTGTGAGCTGTGACTTCATGGCACTCTACCAAGGGTGACATAGTGAAACTCTGTCTCAAAAAAAACAAAAGAAAAATCAACACACACAAAATAAGCTATTAATACAATGTGTGGTCTAAAGGTATTTAAGGTTTGCATTGAACTTTTGTATAAAAAAGACAGTGATTAATGACATTTATAATGTGGTAAATAAAGGACCGATTTAAAAATAGAACATTATTAAATAATACTGACACTTACCTTCAAGGTGGTGAACATTATACCCTGCTCCCCATGTTGAAGATAGGGGTCCATCAGATCCTCAATGAGATGCACCTCAGACCCTAAATTCCTAATCCTGCCCCAAAGAGAAAAAGATGTTGAGTTATTTTTGCTCACATGTCATCCTTCTTCCTGAAATACCTTAGTGGAATGGGTGGATAAAAGTGGATTTTTTTCCAATGAAGAGCATATTCCTGTGATTAGTTCAGAAAATGTATGGACCAGATTTGTTAAAATAATAACTCACTAAGAATAAAGACAGAAAAGATTGGTTACCTGGCCCGTAGCACCACATATAAGAAAACAGGAAACAAATCATCCATGGACCACAAGAAGTCTTCCTGGAGTGATGCTAGGACACTCTGAGAGATCTCTTCAAAAGTCTGCTGGATGACTTTAAGTTTGTCTGATGGAGTAAATGTCGTGCTGTCATAAAAATAATGATAAAAAGATATCTTATAACTTTCTTTCTTTTTTTTTTTGAGACAGAATCTCACTATGTCACCCTCAGTAAAGTGCTGAAGCATCATAGCTCACAGCAACCTCAAACTCTTGGGCATAAGTGATTCTTTTGCCTCAGCCTCCTGAATAGCTGGGACTACAGGTGCCTGCCACAATGCCCAGCTATTTTTTGTTGCAGTTGACATTGTGGTTTAGCAGGTCCAGGCTGGGCTCAAACCTGCCTGCCTCTGTGTATGTGGCCGGCCCTGCTCATGGAGCTATGGGCGCCGAGCCAATGTCCTATAATTTTCTAAATAAAGTCATTGGATATTCCTTCCTGAGACTCACAGGCCTAAAATCGGACACATCAAGCACAATGAGTCACTGGAAGCGATGACTTTGTAATCCTCTGGTGCTAAGAGAAAAGAAGTCTCCACTGTCTGGGATTCATGTGGAAGAATTCATAAATCATATTCGTTCATATTGTTTTACTCAGGTGAAATCTTACTCTCCTATTATATACTCTTCTTTTGAGTGAGAAGTTTGGTTAATTTACATTTGGCTAAAGATGTGATCATGTAGATAAATATCGAAATAGGTACTCTAGCATTTTTGAAAATGTAAGGGCATTCTGGGGTAAAAGATAATCCAAATGGTCCCAAGGAGCCTTTCTTATCTCGGGGTTGAGTATGACACCATCTATATGTGGGGCGCTTAGAGAAGGGGTGGGACACCTGCAGCCTTAAGGCCACATGTGCCCTTCTAGGTCCTTAACTGGGGCCTTTTGACTGAATGTTGACAAGAATGCCTAGAATTCAAGTTTTACAGAACAAATCCTTTTTAGTTTTGTTAATACAGTTTTTGTCTTTATTTCATTGTTAAAATGAACATATTTAAAATACTAAAGAATAAAATAAGTTTCAATAGATTGACTGACACAGTTAGAACATTAGTAAGGCATAAGGGCTAAATTGATGGCTGCCACACTCATGATTTAGTTCTAACTTCCCCCACCTGACTGGAGCCACAACCAGACAAGGCTGGGTGGTTGAGAGTTTACTGGGGGGAGGAAGGAGTGTGGAGTACACCAATCTGTTACCAGTTTTTATCAAAGATGCACTGTGTTTCTGTTTGAAGTAGAATTTGTGAATAGCTGCACAGCTCAACAGTATTTTATAATTCTGTCTGCTTAACAACCATGTCAAAGAAAACCAAGAGAATAATAAAGGAACAATACAGATTTTTAAATAAGGACTTGGAATTGCATTATCTTATTTCTGCTAAAGATAAAATTATTTGCTTGCTCTATGATACTGCAATATCAACATTAAAGAAATTCATTGCTCATCAGCATTATAATACTCATGAGGATCACAAATATTTTAAATTAGAGGGCGAGGCACAAAGGTTGTACTGCCAAAGTTAAAAGATGAAAAGCAAAAGCAAAGACACCTCTTTCAAGCGCAGTAAGATCCAGAAATAATGCCACTGAAGCAACTTATAAAGTAGCTTATAACTCTGAGAAACAAGGGGAGACATTCAGTGATGTAAAAATTGTAAATACGTCGTTAAAGTTGTAGGATGCTTGGACTGCAATAACGTTTCAAAGTACAAACAACTATCTCTTTTAGAACCATCATAACTGATTTGGGAGCATGAATTAGGTTTTAACAGAACTACTGCATGTAATACTTCAAAAGGAAAATATATATATTATTCAATTGCTTTGGATTAATCAACTGATACTACTGACTTGGTACAGGTTTTATACTTCCTTAGGGTCATAACAAAAAATTTTCTTTGCTGTGAAGCCACTTGCTTTAGGCATTCTTGTCAACAGAACATGAGGAACAGACAACTTCAACAACTGTCAAGATAAATGTCGTAAAGTTGGACTAAATTTAGTGATTGTATGTATAGACTGTGCACCTTCCATGAGAGGAAAACATGAAGGGTTTATTGCACAGATAAAAAAAAATACTAACAGATCTAGAAGCTCTCATTTCTTTCAAATGTAACTTGTATCAACAAAATCTCTGTGCTAAAGCTACTATTTTAAGTGACATTTTGAAATGAGTTATAAATATTGTCAACTATAATCAGGAAAATGCAACACAACATTATCAGTTTCCTAGCATGGTAAAGTTGAAGGATGAGGTATTAAGTGTGGAGTTGCTATATCACTCTAAAATGCCTTGCTATCACAGGGACAGGTGTTAACCAAAATTTTATTTCTGTAAAAACAGACAGTTAAATTTTATGAAGAACAGAATCAGCAATATGAATCACTGAAAAGATTTCTGTAGAAATGGAGCATTTCTGTATAATATGTCAAATCAAAACAACTTGAATGTTTCTTTGCAAAATAAAATTATGTCTGTATGACAACAGGTAAAAGTCCAAACATCTTGAAAAAAAGCTATCCTTTTTCATTTTATCTATCTATCTATCTATCTATCTATTTATTTATTTTTTGAGACAGAGTCTCACTTGGTCACCCTCGGTAGAGTGCCATAGTGTCTTAGCTCACAGCAACCTCAAACTCTTGGGTTTAAGCAATCCTCTTGCCTCAGCCTCCCAAGTATCTGGGATTACAGGCACCCACCACAATGCCCAGTTATTTTTTAGAGACTGGGTCTCAGGTCTGTCTCGAACTCGTGAGCTCAGGCAATCCACTGCCTTGGCCTCCCAAGTGCTGGGATTACAGGAAGGAGGCACCATGCCAGCCTAAGCTATCCTTTTTCAAAACACTTTTTCAAAAGGAAATTTTAGATGGCTGGACATGGTAGCTCAGGCCTGTAATCCTAGCACTCTAGGGGGCTGAGGCAGGCACATTACTTGAGCTCACAATTCCAGATCAGCCTCAGCAAGAGCAAGACCCCAGCTGTACTAAAAATACAAACACTAGCTGGGCATCCTGGTGTGGCACACACCTGTAGTCCCAACTAGTTGGGAGGCTAAGGCAAATTGCTCAAGCCAAAAAGTTGAGGTTGCTCTGAGCTATGATGATGCCATGACACTTTACAACCAGGGTGACACAATAAGACTCTGTCTTTAAAAAAAAAAAAAAGAATCTTCCAAATTCATCCAAGTTATTACACATAAAAAATAGAAATTTTAGATGAACATTCTCTCCAGTTAGCAAACATCATTGATCAGTAGAATCATTTGAAGAACATGCAAATGTTATAGACCTATTAATTGCAGAATATAATGGAAGATTCACTGCCTTTGAGAATCATATTACTCAAATTAACATTTCAGCCTCCCCTGGTTGATCACCAAGGCACTTAAAGAACTACAGATGAAACTGATTGAGATCTCAGTAGCTGATACTTGAAAGTGATTGTTTGATGCTAAGAAAAATCCAATTGAAATATGGACAATGTGTTGGCATCCTCACATTTTTGGCAACATGCCCCAAAATGCTTCCTTGCTTTTCAACCAATTATTGCTGTGAATCTATATCAAGACACCCTGAAGGTCACGAATGACAGATATCCATCTAGAGAATCAACTGAAACTGTGGCCCTCCATGCTGCAACCAATTATTCAAATGCTTTCCATCAAAAAGCAGACAACCCCATGACTGCATTAATGTACACAGCTATGATTTAATTTAAAAAAAAAAAGCAGACAAAAAGTCATTAAAAGATATTAAATTTAAAATTAACAATTAGTTTTCATTTTTTGAAATTAAGTACATAGCACTTAGATTTTTATGAAAGAATGTACATTTTTAAGTATATCTAACTGAAGTTTCTTAAATAGGGCCTTATTTGATTCCTGCTAAATTAATGTGGCCTACCAACATTAAAGTTTCCCTATCTCAGGCTTAGTGCTTAGGTAAAGATAAGATCTTATTAATACCTTGACAGACTAACCATTACTTTATGTAGTTTTTCAACAAATTAGAGATTACCTGATCTGCTGCAGACATTCCACTGCTGAGGCAAAACAAGCATCTTTTGTGGTTGGCAAAACCTGTAAAAAGAATGAAGGTCAAAGAGGAAAGCTATCTCTTGCAACAAAAATAAAAATCAATGGTATCAACAGCAGGGTACAGGTTTTTGGTGAATAACAGATGCTTACACAAGCTCGGGTACTATTGTATCAAATAAAAACAGAAATCTTTTGCTATCTCAAATCCTTCCCTCCAAAGAAAAGCATATTTGCTAAGGAAATTTAAATCTATTATATGCTTTTTTTTTTTTTTCAGTTTTGGCCGGGGCCAGGCTTGAACCCGCCACCCCCGGTATATGGGACTGGTGCCCTACTCCTTGAGCCACAGGCGCCACCAATCTACTATACCTTTTTATTATCTCCAAGGATCGACAAGGTCACTGGCCAAAATTTCCTACAATGGAATCCACAAATTATTATTGTTACTTCCAATAGATAAATTCACATACAAACAGCTGACAGCTATATTACCTTCCCTGACCCTCTTAAAAATAACTATTCTACAGATAGGTTATTTTAATAAAGATTGGAGAAGTGATTTAGGAGTTTCTATTATACCCTAAGCGATTTGTCTATGCTCTAATAACCCTATACCTTACAGATATTACCAAATATTGGCCACAAATCTTTCCTTCACTCAGTTTTATCTTATTTTTAGTATTAAATTGCTCTACTGAAAAAAATTTACTATTTTTCTTTCAAAAATAATTTATTATTTTTTTAAATTTCAGGTTAATGTGAGGGTACAAACCAGTTACAATGTTTGTACTTGTGAGGTAGATTCCCTCTTGTAGTTGTGTCCCACACCCAAGAGGTGGTATGCCATTCACCCCCACGTGGTGCCCATTAAGTGGGAGCACCAATCCCCATCACTCCTCCTCTTTCCTCCCCAAAGTTAACTTTTTAATCAAGGTTTATTTCCTTTTGTTTGATAGCATAAATAATATAATTATTGAGAGGGGGATCAACTTTATCACTAAGTAAGAAATAAAGCATAATCATTTGGCATTTCCTTAGAATAACAAGAAATATTGCCTTGGAACAAAAGCAGCACTTCTAAAATTTTAAATTAAAAATGGCAGATGGGAAGAAGAATGCCAAAGTTTGAATACAGCTAATTCTCCTGAGAAATGTGAATGTAAAATATTTTTGGTATTATATTTGTTTTAAAGAACTACAAAATATCTGGCACAATAATTCATATTGACTTTATACATATGCATATATGAAAATATAATAAAAGCCCATTCAGAAGAATAAGCAGGTTTATATTCATCTTCAAATATTCTCAGAAATAAAATTAAATATCTCAATTTTACTAAATAAGACAGTGAGGCAAATAAGTAAATTGCAAGCTATATACACTGTATAATTAGATATTAAATCTCTGATAATGCAGTTTACATTTTTTTTGAGACAGTCTCA